TCCTCATCCCTGCTCAAGAACAGCAGCCGGGCTTTGCCATCTAGAATAGCTGAAAGAGAGTTACCTACAAAAGCAGGAAAACAGAGAAATATGTGCTTAACAATGCTTCTCATAGACTGTGCTTCATTGTGACGGTGTCCTTGCATGCCTTTTTATAACCGTACACATGTACTGAATCCGTACCGATCATCTGGCTGAGACAAATGAATTAGATCGTGAAATATTGACTGTACCATAGAATTTGGACTTGGCCAGGATGCTTCCACTAATAGAAAATCCATCCTTCCTATTGCAGACATAAAAGGCAGAGATGGGTGGATGGTGCGACACCTGGCAGAGGACAGAGAGAGAAAATGAAATCTGAGCAGCGGAGCGAGGCAAACACTGTCAGATACGCTCTGGCCAATGTTCCCTCTAAGCTGCGCAATTGCGCACTGCTAGCACGGTCAAAAAGAAAGCTAACCTGAATTGAAATTACAATTAAAACTTTCTGTTTTGCAGCGTTAGTCAGTGAGTGACAGTTGTTAGTTGTTTAGGGAGGGGGAAGTTTTAGGAGTGACGGCGGTGTTTTAAGATGTGAGAGATTTGCGACATTTAGCGCAAATCTTGTGTAGTTAGTGTGTAGTGTAGTCAACAGTTTTGTTGTGTGTGTCAGAACAATGAGGCGACTGCTGAATGTTACAGGTGTTACAGCAGTGACACATCTCCTGTTGTCAGGCCTGCAGGTATCAGGCTGTTGTTCTCCTTCATCTCATAGTGGACAGAAATTATTTTTGGAGTGGCACAAATTATTTGTGTGGCATCAAATTTGAAGCAGAACAGCTGATTGTTCTGTAAATAGTTTGAAATGTTTGTTTAAAAAACACCTTGGCTGCATCTTTAGGTAAACAGCTGCAAAAAACTTTGTTGTTTGCATAACTCAGTTACTTTTTTGAAGAAGTAACTATATAATTAATTGCCCAACATTGGTCTTTATATACTGTATTTTGCAGACAGAGTTACAGGACTCTCTCTCAGACCACAGACTCATAATACAAGTCAGAGCTTTAGTTGTGTTTTCAAAATTGGAGTTCAAGTTATTTTTACTTCCAATAGTGTTAACATGCTACACAGGTCATGAACAAGATTTTCTTTTAATTTTCATTGTAAGTGGGCTAAAGCAGTTAATTAAAAGTAGTCTAACATAAATGTAAATGCTGTAATTTGATTATTTTAATAAACATGTAACTTGGATGGATTCGATGCTGGCGTGACCACAGTGCACACGTCTGCTGT